ATAGCAGTTAAAGGTGAGAAACTGCATTAATTCTACAATGTACATACATCCTAAAATACAGGTTTCGAGTATTATATCAGAATTTTTGTCACAGAATGACCAAGGCTTATAGGTACCATGGCAGCACAGTGGTTAAGGCCACTAGCTGCAGGAAAAGCTGCGAGTCGGGGTAAGTTCTCGACAGTCAGTCATAGCTTCTGCCTACCTAGCAGTTCGAAAGCATGCAATGCAAATAGATCAATAGGTATCGCCTTGGTAGGAAGGTAAAAGGGTGCCCCATGCAGACATGCTAGCACTCTCTACCTTGTTACCACACTTCCTGCAATAATATTACCCATCCTCAGGTGTCATATGCTTATCCTCTATTCCATCATCCAACTCATTGATAAGGTGTTGTATAGCATCAGGCCCAGCACAGAACCCTGTGGGACCCCATTGGTCACTTTTCTCCAAGATGAGGAGCAGCCATTGGAAAGCACTCTTTGGGTTCAGCCAGTCAACCCATCTACCTAATTCTAGCATTGATTAGCACACATTTTATCGGCTTCACTGCAAGAATATCATAGAGCACTTTGTTGGAGGCCTTACTTAAATTAAGATATGCTACATTCACAACATTCCTGCCCGATACTAAGCTTGTAGCTCTATCAACACAGATAAAAGTTGACTTGTTTTTGAGAAACTCATGCTGCCTTTTAGTGATCACGACATTCATTTTTAAATGATTACAGACTATCAGTTTAATGATATGATACCGAATTTTTTATGATACTGATGTCAAATTGACTTGGCAGTGATTCTACTGGTCTTCTTTTTTTACACTTGACCTCATTCAGTCTGCTAGGATATCTTGTTCTCCAGGAATTCTCAACAATGATTGCCACTGGTTCTGAGGTTACATCTGTCAGTCTGTACTTATTTGATTTCTTAGTTTTTTGGCCTGTCCATTGTGTCCTATTTCTCTATCATGTTATTTAGTAACTGTTTATTTTATTTTGTTATTTCAAGAATTTCTTTTAATGTTATTTTTGCTTCTTTGTACTTTATTTTGCTGTACTGTAATTTTGGTCTCGGCCTCATGTTAGCCGCCCCGAGTCCTCTTTGGGGAGATCGTGGCGGGGTACAAATAAAGATGATGATGATGATGATGATGATGATGATTATCATTATTATTAAAATTCCCATCAATGCAATTCATTTGACCCTGGAGAATCAGTTTAAAGTAGTCAGGTATTCCTGAGCTACTTCTTTACCTTATCTATACTGCATCACCTACTTCACTTTTTCCAGACTGACCACTGGTCTCCTTTTGGGAGTAGACATTTTTCCATCTTCTCCATGAAACAGCTCTACCTTTTCCTTGTTCTTTCTTTAGCTAAAGATACAGAGTGAGGCAGCATAACTTCCTTTTTTCAAAACTTAATAAAACCCATTGTATGAATCAGATTTTTTTTATAATGTAGGCGCATACCTAAAGCTTTGTTTTACATAGTTTTGAAGATCAAATTAGGTAGGTGACATCCCCCATTCTCCATACACTGAGTAAACCGATTTCTGGCGTTTGTCATGACTCTTGCCAGCATAGCAGGCGTTATGTTGGCAATTTCTTCCTGGATGTTGGTCTCCCAATCTTGTAGGGTCCTTGGACGGTTCACATAAACACGGGATTTCAAAAAAACCCATAGAAATAAATCACATGGAGCCAAATCTGAAGAGCGGGCCGGACACTCCAAATCCGCTCGAAAAGTAGGCCTCAACGGCAAAAGCACGCTCCTCACTGTTCCAACGCATGATGGCGACTGAACTGTGTCAGGACAAAACTTTATACTCCCGCTTCTCTAACAAGACCACTAGCGCTCCGCTACATCTTCAACTGACTTAATGGCATGCATTTTAAAAAAGGAAGTTATGCTGCCTCACCCTGTATAACCAAAAAGGTTCTTTTTATTGTTTTTAACCTACCCAGCAAGTCTGTACTTACCTGATTTCTTAGATTTTTCTGACATTCTCTCTACACGTGCTGCTTTTAATTTGAATTCCTCTTTGATGATTTCCCCGTTTTTCCATTATTTGTACATGTCTCTTTTAAACCACAGCTGAGTTTAAAGTTATTTAGACATCTATCCTGGTTTCTTTAGACACCACCCAGTTTTTCTTCTAATGGAACTAATGAATTTGTGCCAACAATATCTCACTTTAAGAAATTCCAAAATATTATGAACCTTCTTTTCTTTGTGTATTCCTGGCCTTGGAATCACACCAAGTATTCTTCTAAGTTTATTGAAATTAACTTTCTTAAAGTCTAGAAGGCATGCCTGGCTATAACTGGCTTCTCTTTTCTACTGTATAATAAATTCCAGGAGAACATGCTCACTCCCACCTAAGGATCCTGCCACTTCCATCTTTAGTACAATGTAACTGTCTGCAAGGTAAGTGAGGAATTCATTGGAACTATATTTTTGGAGGAATTTGACCCTTCCACACAGTTTAAATCCACATGGATGGTGTGAACTCAGATAATCCAGTTCAAAGCAAAAGCTGTGGATAGCTGCCTTGAAGTTCTGGATTATATGGCTGTGTGGAAGGGCCCTTAGACCTCCAACAATATGAGGATAACTGAAATCTCCCTATATTACTACATCTCCCCTTTCTGAATGTATGATATTCTATTTTAGGAAGGCATCATCCAAGTATTTAGTCTTATATGAAGACTGTAGTAGACCCCCCCCCCCCAAACTGTATTCCTGTGTTTTCTTTTCCCTGTATTTTTTTAAAACTAGGATGCTTTCAAATTAGCTTCCAAGATTGAAGTCATGGATTTCTTAACAGGTGTAAACATCTTTTACTTATAATACTACTACTTCTTTCCTGTTTGGTCTATTTCTCAAAAATATGTTAGGGTAAAAGTTTCCCCTTGACATTAAGTCGAGTTGTGTCTGACTCTGAGGTTGGTACTCATCTCCATTTCTAAGCTGAAGAGCCGGCGTTGTCCATAAATGCCTCCAAGGTCATGTGGCCAGCATGACTGCATGGAGTACCATTACCTTCCCGCCAAAGTGGTACCTATTAATCTACTCACATTTGCATGTTTTCAAACTGCTAGGTAGGCAGAAGCTGGGGATAACAGCGGAAGCTCGCGCCGCTCCCCAGATTTGAACCTGCAACCTTTCAGTCAGCAAATTCAGCAGCTCAGCAGTTTAAGCCGCTGCGCCACTGGGGGCTCCAAAAATATGTGACTTTATTCCAATTAATAGAGTTATGCCACCAGGTTTCAGTGATGCTTATTTGGTTTGCTCTATTAAGAATTGAAATCAATCCTGTTTATTTCATATGCTCTTTGTTTTAGTGGGGAGACATCTCTATCATAGTTGGGTTATAATCTCGTGCGCCTGGCAAACTCCTGCCCCCCAAAACGCCATCTCTGTCACATCCACATAACTGAGTTTAAAGCCCTCCAGATTTGTTCCTTAGCAAAAACATTATTGCGGTGAGGTTCCAGCTCAACTTCATAAATGCAGACCATGGTCAAGGAGGCAAATAGTTACTAAGCCTGTTGGCATCTTCATTATACTACTCTCCTTTCTGTGTTATTTAAGGGATATAAACCACCTCAAAATTGTCGAAGGCTTTCATGGTTGGAATCACTGGGTTGTTGTAGGTTTTTCGGGCTGTATGGCCATGTTCTAGAAGCATTCTCTCCTGACATTTCGCCTGAATCTATGGCAGGCATCCTCAGAGGTGTCTCACTACACAACAAAGACTGATAAAGGCCAAACTTGGCACACAGAGCCCCCATGACCCACTCTACATTCTACTGCAGTTTGGAGGGTGGACCATGGATGATGGGAGTTGAAGTACCTCCACTCACTTCTCAAGACCGCTGCGACCCTCATGCAATGACTGATCAAGACCAAACTTGGCACACAGAGCCCCCATGACCCACTCTACATCCTACTGCAGTTTAGAGGAGGGCGGACCACAGATGATGGGACTTGAAGTACCTTCACTCACTTCCTGAGACCGCTGCAACCCTCATCCAATGACTGATCAAGACCAAACTTGGCACACAGAGCCCTTATGACCCACTCTACATCCTGATGCTCTTTGGAGGAGGATGGACCATGGATGATGGGACTTGCAGTATCTTCACTCACTTCCCGAGACCGCTGCAACCCTCATCCAATGAATGATCAAGACCAAACTTGGCACACAGAGCCCCCATGACCTACTCTACATCCTACTGCAGTTTAGAGGAGGGCAGACCACAGATGATGGGGCTTGAAGTACCTTCACTCACTTCCCGAGACAACTGCAACCCTCATCCAATGACTGATCAAGACCAAACTTGGCACACAGAGCCCTCATGACCCACTCTACATCCTGATGCTCTTTGGAGGAGGGTGAGCCATGGACGATGGGACTCACAGTTCCTGAGAGCACTGCGAGCCACATAAATAACTAATAAAGACCAATCTTGGCACACAATGCCTTTTTCAAATAACCCGAGCACCGCCAGGTCTCCAAGCTACTTGTATATAAAGGACACAATTGAAATTATTTAAATAGGAATTGTGGGAGCTGGAAGTCCAAAACACCCGGAGGGCTGAAGTTTGCCCATGCTTGCTTTACAGGAGGCATTTCCAGTGGATCTAAGCCCCATCAAAGCAATCCTGCCTACTTAGAGGTCTGTTAGGTTTTTTTTTTTGTCTGTCAGAAGCAACTTAAGGAACTGCAAGTCGCTTCTGGTGAGAGAATGGGCCGTCTGCAAGGATGTTGCCTAGGGGACGCCCAGATGTTTTGATGTTTTACCACCCTTGTGGGAGGCTCCTCTCATGTCCCAGCATGGAGAGCTGGAGCTGACAGAGGGAGCTCATCCGCAGTGAAACTTTGACCTGTCCGGTCTTCACAAGGGTGTAACCCACTGCGCCAGCGGGGCTTCCTTGGAGGTGAGGAGCGAGGGGCTGGGGTGCTGCCCGTGAAAGGAGGGAGGGAGCTCTTACCGGCTCTGCAGGCGCCCTTCTGGACGTGGCGCACGGGCGTCCTCCCCTGCTGCAGGGCTTGCCGGGCGGCGGACTGGAGGCGGCAGGCGTTGGCGTAGGTCCTGCCGTCGGAGCCGCAGACGGCGGCGCCCTGCTTGCACTGGCAGGCCCCCCGGCCGTGCTCGGGCTCGAAGGAGCGGCACTGGAGCCCCTCTCCGCAAGGAGGGTCATCCGCCCACCCGCACGCCTCGCCCTCGCCCGCCGCGCACACCAGGCAGCAATTGCAGCCGTCGGGCACGTAGCCGCTGGGGCAGATAGGGCTCGGGCAGCGGGAGACGTCGCAGCGCGCCGGGCAGCGGTCGCCCCCGGGACGAGAGCCCGACGCCAGTGCCAGCAGCGCCAGCAGGAGCAGCAGCGTCGCCCGCATCGCGCCCGCACCGCACCGCCGGCTCCGGCTCCGACGGGACGCCAGGTTGGCCGAAGGGGCGGGGCAGAAGGGCAGCGGTGGCCAATCAGCGTTGGGCAGCGGCGGCCAATCCGCGCTGGTCCCGCCGGAGGGAGGGAGAGAGGGTCTCGCACTCAGTAGCCACAGTAACCCGCGCAGAGGAAACACAACAAGGAGGCAGGAGGAGGCGGATTGGGGCCGGAGGAGGAGGAGGAAGAGGAGAGGGCAGGGCCCGGCGGCGACGTGGAAGAAGCAGCCAGGGCAACGCTCCTCTTCTCAACCTTCCTCATGCTGCCAGTATTCCTCATGCTGCCTGGAACTCCTCAACAGATGGCAGTACTGGTATGCGGCAGATATTGGCTTGTTCAGTAGACCCCTTAATACAGTTCCTCATGTTGTGGTGACCCCCAACAATAACATTATTTTCCTTCCTACTTCATAACTGTCATTTTGCTACTGCTATCCATCGTCATGTAAATATCTGATATGCAGGATGTATTTTCATTCACTGGACCAAATTGGGCCACAAATACCCTTATACGCCCAAATTTGAATACTAGTGGGGTTGGGGGGAGTTGATTTTGTCATTTGGGAGTTCTAGTTGCTGGGATTTATAGTTCACCTGCAATCAAAGAGCATCCTGAACTCCACCAATGATGGAATTGAACCAAACTTGGCACACAGAACTCCCACGACCAACAGGAAATACTGGAAGCAGGCAAGCCTCCCCCCCCCCCCGAAATTCTCATGGTGGTTTGCGAAAAGGCCTTACTGGTGCATTATTTAAACCAGGGTAGGGAACCTTTGGCCCTCCAGCTGTGGTGGACTTCAACTCCCACAATTCCTTGAGGCTCGGCATTCGCCCCAAAGGCTTACCTTGGCCCAATGCCGAGCCTCAAGGGCTTCAGCCCCCCCGAAATTCTCATGGTAGTCCGCGAGAAGGCCTTACTGGTACATTATTTAAACTGTTTATGTTTATTCATATCATGATCTGATCACCATACTCAATATATCCCATATGCATGGGGGTATTGGGGTAACGATACAAAAGGTTTGCTAGGTAGACCCTCTTTCACTCAGACTCAGCCCCCCCACCCCCGAAACAAACTCAGCCCCCGAATCGAAATCCTGGCTACAGGCCTGAAAGGGTTTGGTGGGCATTGACCTTGAGTTTTGGAGTTGTAGTTCGCCTACATCCAGAGACAGCACTGTGGACTCAAACAATGATGGATATGGACCAAACTTGGCACAAATACTCAATATGCCCAAATGTGAACACTGGTGGAGTTTGGGGAAAATAGACCTTGATATTTTGGGAGTTGTGGTTGCTGGGATTTATAGTTCACCTACAAGCAAAGAGCATTCTGAATCCCACAGATGACAAAATTGGGCCAAACTTCCCACATAGAACCCCCATGACCGACAGAAAATACTGTGTTTTCTGATGGTCTTTAGTGACCCCTCTGACACTCCTTCGTAACTCCTCAACAGATGGCAGTACTAGTATGCAGCAGATACTGGCTTGTTCAGTAGACTCTCCTCTACAGTTCCATTTTGGTGGGAAGCCTTAGCATTGAATGGTTGTGTTGTTAAAGTGCGAAGTATGGAACCCTGCACGGACGGTCAGTCAGTGCAACTTAAGCAACATGCAAGCTGTTTATGGTGCTTGTGTTGATGTGAGTACTGTGCGTAGTTGGGTGGGTAAGTTTAAAGATGTTTAGGTGACACCTGCTGTCAAGAATTCAATGCCTGCACATTGCTTAAGTCGTACTGACTGACCATCAGGGCAGGGTTCTATTCTTCGCACTTTAAGAACACAACCATTCAATGCTAAGGCTTCCTGCCAAAATGGAGCTGTATTTTCAATTTTCAACCCTCCCTGAAATTTTCAACCCTCCCTGAAATTTTTTTCTGGCTACGGCCCTGGTTGCCAGTGTGCTGTCTCTACTCTTCACTATTTTATCAAGGCTGGTCATTGCTCTCCTCCCAAGAAGTAAGCATCTCCTGATTTCCTGGCTGCAGTCTGCGTCTGCAATAATCTTTGCACCTAGAAACACAAAGTCTGTCACTGCCTCCACATTTTCTCCCTCTGTTTCCCAGTTGTCAATCATTCTTGTTGCCATAATCTTGGGTTTTTTTTATGTTTAACTGCAACCCAGCTTTTACACTTTCTTCTTTCACCTTGATTAGAAGACTCCTCAACTCCTCCTCACTTTCGGCCATCAAAGTGGTGTCATCCGTATATCTAAGAGCTATCATGCAGAAAAGGGGGCCTCACCTGAAGCTTTATCGCCAATCCTGGTTTCCACTACAAGCCATTTTTTCCAAATCCAATTATCACAGAGATGGAAAGCCAGGTGAAACCTTCTGAATAGGGTCACGAGGGTATCAATTTATCCCAGTACTATCCAAAGTTGATATATAAATGTATTTGGCTTGAATTACACTTTTAAAATGTGCCTGCTCAAACTTACATACAAATTCTACTTGAGAAAAACCCACAGAACTCGCCTTGTTCCTAGCTTGGGGACTGCCTGTATATGGTAGTATAGGTGGGGCCTATCTCACCAAGCTACGAGTCTCCAAATTCCATAGCATCAAGTCAAGGCAGTTAATGTGGTGTCAAACTGATAGAATTCAATAGCACAGAGACAGCCTTTGAAACCATACCCTGATTTTTAAAATTATGATCCTTCTGAGCACAATTCAGCCTCAGGTGCTGATGCAAGGAGACACTGGGAAGATATTGCCCTTGCCTTCAGATTTCCCATTTAACCACACCCATCCCCATTTTTAGCCATGGCTTTCCCCTCCAAGAAATATGTAGTGATGGTTATGCCATATGAAAAATAGCTTGGAGTAGCACTTTCCTTCACCACATTGCAATTGCAATATCCCACCCTCTGTTTGGAAAAAGGAGCAGCATCCCTTTCCATACCCTCCACATCTGAAGAGCATCTGGACTAAGTCTAAAAATATTGGTTGCCAGGAGACAAAGGGGCCCACCCATAACTATAAGGATTTTCTTAGGCAAGGAATACTCAGGGGACAGGGGTGGTTTGTAGTTCCTTCTTCCTACAGCACCTGGTATTCATTGGCAGTCTCCTATCAAAGTGCTAACCAGAGTTAACCTTGCTTAGCTTGAGATCAGACAGGATCTGGTGCCTTTGGGGTGTTTAGCCAGTTGTGGATATGCACGTGCTTACAAGACAACTATCACCTTATGATTGCCCCATGAATTTCACAAGGTTTTCTTACATAAAGTGGATTTGCTAATTCCTTCCTCAAAAATGCAATAGTATCTAATATTTGTTGGTGGTCTCCCAGCTTATTTATTTATTAATTTGACCGGAGGCGGGGGGGGGGGGAACTCAACCTCATATGTGATCTTGAAAGCTTATTTATGATAGAAATAAATAAGTGTTGTCGAAGGCTTTCATGGCCGGAATCACTGGGTTGTTGTAGGTTTTTCCGGGCTATATGGCCATGTTCTGGAGGCAATTTTTCTCCTGACGTTTCGCCTGCATCTATGGCAAGCATCCTCAGAGGTAGTGAGGTCTGTTGGAAGTAGGAAAAATGGGTTTATATATCTGTGGAATGACCAGGGTGAGACAAAGGACTTTTGTCTTCTGGGGCTAGCTGTGAATGTTTCAGCTGATCACCTTGATTAGCATTCAATGGCTTGGAAGTGCCTGGGGGGAATCTTTTGTTGAGAGTGATTTTATGTGCCTGTTTGTTTCCCCTCTATTGTTTTGCTGTTGTAATTTTTGAGTTTTTTAATACTGGTAGCCAGATTTTGTTCATTTTCATGGTTTCTTCCTTTCTGTTGAAATTGTCCCATGCTTGTGGATTTCAATGGCTTCTCTGTGTAGTCTGACATGGTGGTTGTGAGAGTGGTCCAGCACTTCTGTGCCCAGACACACATCCAGGAACATGAAAGGCACTGCAAACTACTCCAACCAGAGAAATCAGCCATAGCAGAGCACCTGCTGAACCAACCTGGACACAGCATTTTATTTGAGAACACAGAAGTGCTGGACCACTCTCACAACCACCATGTCACAAATAAATAAATAAGCTTTCAATATCACATATGAGATTGAGCCCCCCCCCCCCCCTTGCCTTCGGTCAAATTAATAAAAATTGAAACCATGGTGAAGAGACCCACGGAAAGCCCAGAGTCCGGCTTATTGGCCATACGAATTATCACAGGAACCCAGCAGCAGCTACCAGTGTCCTGGATAAATTGTACAGGACAACAGGATCCTTACGCAGGGCCGCCCACCCTTTGTGCAGCCACATGGACACAAAAAGAACATTAAACCCCTGGCACTCTTCCAGTACACCAGGAGGTCTTGCCCTGTTTTTCCGCAATGCCATCTCCCGTTTCCCAAAGATGGATAATCAAATCCCATCATCTCAGACAATATGTTGCTATGAAAAACAATGGACACTAGTGCAGAGTCACTAGACCTGCATGACTGGGGACTCATAAAGACAATGATCGAGACAACAACACTCAAGTGACCAAAATTGTCCTTTTTCTTCATTTTGTGATTAAGACACAGTTGTCCATCCAGAAAACGATGTGTTCTTTTCTCTCTCTGGTCATCCGGCCCCCCATCAGTCATTGGAGAGCAGACATCTGCATCGGAAGCGGGAAACGCTCCCTGATTGGCTGGCAAGTGCTGCAATCCCGCCTCACAGAGGGAATCCTGCGAAGCTGACAGGCTTTGCCAATCAGCGCGAAGCCAGCCCCAGCTGGGCATGAGCAGGAAAAGCAAAAGAGTGTACAGTATAAAAATGTATGTTTTACTTGTATCAGACATGTCAGCTTCTTTGAACAGCATACCACTAGCTGACATCCCTCCCGGCCGGTTTGAATAAACTCATTGGTGGCTTCTTCTTCAACTGGTGAGATTTTCTTTGATTGGGGAACATTGAGTTTAGCTCCAAGTGTCACCTTGCACGGATTCACAGTCGACCCACTCCCGGTACCCATTATCCACTTAACAG